ACATGTCCATGGAACAAGGTAAGAAGCAAAATGTTGCAGTTCTTCAGAGAAATCTGAGTATCCTAGAAAACTGCACATGGTATTGTTAAGAGACTATGTTTAATTTTTATGTCTATTTATAAATACAGATATATTAAAAAATGCTTTTTACAAACGCAGAAGTGGTGTATGTTAATTCTGCCATGTTAAAACACAGCCCTTGTTGGCTGTATTTTTCATGTATGCCTAAATCACACAAGCTGATTATTGCCACAGCTGTGATGCCTAGAGCAGCACTGAAATCCATGTCTGTTGAAAATCATCATCATAATGTATGAGGTTTGCATCATAGTAGTTGACTTGGGTCTGTTGTGCCCAAAGGCAAGCACGTGTGAATGACTCAGTCTTCATAACGGACTTTAGAGCTTGTAAACAATCATTGTGCAAAATGTTGCATCACCTTTGTTGTAGTGATGTGGAGAAAAGAAAGTGAAAAGTCCACTTGTGGTATGTTGAGTAGATCCTACTAGCATTGCCCATATTAACTGCAGATGATGAATCCTGGGGCAGAATTAGGGTCTCTGGAATAAAGACAGAGGACAGAAAGAGGGTGTTTGGACACCTTGCTGAAGATGTGCAGTGTGCAATGCTTACACTTACAGTGCTGAGGGAATTATGTCCCCTTCTGAGCTTCATCTCTTGCATTACCACATACACATTATCTTACAGCACACTGCATGTTGTATCTGGGACCAAGCTGGACTCAGGATCAGTGCAGCTGGCAAAGAAGAGGACATGCTTGAAGTTTTTCCTTTCAGTGAAAACATTGCTCAGTACACGGACAGAACTTAACTTTGGCACTTTGCTAGGCTTCTTCAATTACTAGCTACTTTTTGACCTTAATCTCTCCATGTCTCACTTGAATTTTCCAGACCACAGTGGAAATGAATTCAGGTTGGTGGAAGGGAATTAAATTGCCCCGTGAGAACAAATTTTTAATTGTATTGGGTAAAGGAGAAGTGAGACTGTGCATGAGACAGAATAGCAAAACATGGAATAGCTCCTCAGTTAGAGAAGCACCATGCATTCTGCTTGCTGGGTAAGGCACAGGCTCTGTAGTGAAATTGTTTGATCACATTATTAAAATATTCCTACTTTTAGGTGTATAAGATGTGCAAAAGGACACTGAGTTAAACATTCATGGGTATTTCTTAATACCTGGGTGCTTTGCAGCATGAATTTTCAATTAACATAGTCTGTATGTGCAATTTAACAATACTAGTGCATTGCACATTGAAGTGTTAGCTGGAATTTTGTTAAGTACCATGTAGACTCCTTAAATTACATATTCCACGTGCCAAAATGCCTAGCATTCATGGACTTATGAGAGGGTAGGTAAAGCGAAATGCTTCTCATCTAAACAGTCATTGCAGGATAGAGCTCTGAGGTTTATAGGGAATTTCAGCTGGGAAGGGAACTGACAGCCAGTATCACTTGTTCAGCAGTCATCTTTTGAGTCTGTGTTTTGAAGTCTGAGAAGAGATTTTAGCAGCCAAAGTATCAATATTTAGGATGTGTATTTTCCTAGCCATTTGGATAGCTAAGTCCCTTGTTTAGGCTTTCTTCTCTCTATGTCTGAATGTTTTGCAATGTATTTTGTCTCACCTTAGCAATGCAGCATTGCTGTATTCATATCCATCTACAATACATACCATCACAGGGATTATTTTCTCAGACTCTTGTTCTGGACTCTGTCTCAATAGTTCACATGTCCCTTCTGGAGTGTCAAATATAAATATAAACACCTCTAATTTCCTGACATCAGTCATTTGCTCTTTCCACAGTATGTCATGCTTGATTTGGAGAAGACACCTCACTTTTCGTCCAGTGGGTCCCTTGAACCAGCCTCTCTTGTCCTTTCATGTTGATATTTCACATGCATCTTCTTGCTTCTTCTCATTTTGCCACAGCCCTCCATCACAAATATTCTTTTCTTGGAGGTGTGCCATGTAACCTGTCAGTTGCTCAATTTTTCCTCTTTGCCTAAATTTTTCCAGTTTTATGCAACATTCTCAAGGGCTTTGGGAGACAGGCTGCCACTTTGTTCTGCTAGTACAGTGCTTGGCAGAGTAGACTGAGGTGCTGAAGAGCTATTATAAGAATAAACTAAGAATGATTTTCAGATAATGTCAACCTGCTGTGCTCAGGAAGAGGGAAATGAAAGTGGGAAGTGTCCTTGCACGTCTCTTGGAGCAGAGGAGAGGCTGTTGGTGACTTCAGAAGCTGGAACGTGTCAAATGAAAGTAACTTGTAGCACAACGCTGACTGTGATAGTGAATGTGTAACAGGGCTTGGAAAAAGTGGGGAGAGAGGAGTGTTGAGGTGGGATTTGACCAGTCTGTCCCTTCCTTTCCCAGGGTTGTTCATCTGGAATGACAGGTGTCACCATGCATCACAAGAGGCAGTGTCAAAAAGGTGTTAGATGCAGATCTTCAAAGTTATCTCAGTGTTAAACAAGTGTGTTGCTGTCTCTGGAAACGATCTGTAGCCCTACAAACTGGTTAGACTGGCTTTAAAGCCTATAATGACTCTGAGCAGTTTGCACGGATCTAAGTGGTGATGGCAGGGATGTCAGCTTAATCAGCAAAGTCACGTTCCAGAGGAGGAAAATGCCCAGTTGAAGGCCAAAATATCTTGCTGCCTTACAGCAGCTGAATATTTGTGATGAGTCTGGGGATTGGAGGTGATAAACATCACAAAGCGCAGCCTTGAAGGACATGCCCTCTTTTGCTGGTCACCCATGGCTAGATTTCTCTTCCACTTGCATGATGATACGAATCTGAGAAAGTTCAGGGCCAGCTACTGGCTTCACTGATAGCTTTCGTTTATTCATAGCCTTTCCTCCCAAAGGAATTCTGATGTAGATTACAGACATGAGCTATGCCATGGCATAGCTCAACCCAGAGGTGCGAGAAGCAGCAAGCACAGGCTCTCCACAACATGATGTGGGGGAAGTTTTGACAGAAGTTATCCAAACAGGCCTTTGAAAGTTGCATTTGCCAAGGGATTCTGGATTTCCAGGCAGATATCCCTTTTAAAGATACTGCCTGAATGATGCACACACATCGAGCAGAGAGAGAGCTGCACTTTTGTGTCTGAGTAGAGAGGTTCTAGGAGGGCTGAAAGAGAGCAAGGTCATCTCTCCTGAGTTAGTATTTAGACAATACTATCCCTTTTTTTCATTAATACTTATATTTTTGCATTTCTTCATTTCCCAGAAAGCTTCGGGAATAAGCTCACCAGTAACTTAAATACAGTGTTTAGCCCTTGCTCTACAGTTACTTCTGGCAGAGCTGTGCTTGCTGTTCCCTGAGCTTCTGATTACAGGATACGTACTTTTTATTTTTAATTCCTTGGTGTGTCTTTACTCAAATTACCTCCTTCCTTGCCAGTGGTGGGGGTTAGGTCCCACCACAAAGTAATTACTAGCACTGGAGATGTACATTCTTCTCTCTCCTTCCAGTCACCCAGTTTCTGCCCAGTGCCTGTCTGCTCAGTGTGTGTGTGGTCTTAATGGCAAGGACATGGCAGCACAGAGGCTGTAAGCCTGCTCTCATTTTTGTTACCTGTTTGCAGCTGAACTGTGTTGATGGATCAGCAGCTTGATAGACTCAGATGTGAAGGGTCCTGTGCCAGCCTTGCAGAATGCTGGTGTCACAGCCACAGCACCACTACTGTCTCCCAGGGTGTTGTTGCAGCATGCAGTTAATCCAGAGCTCTGGTGCTGTTTACTAGCCCTTGCAGTGTCGTGCTTGCTCTCGGTTTTGTTCTATATATGCAGTAAATACCCTCTATGAAGGCAGTAGAAAGCTTTGAAAGAAAGCTCAGCACTCATTTTTCATGTATGTATATTTGCCTTCAGATTCCAGTTGCTTGATTTAATGGACATGCCTCTCAGCTGCTGACTGGTTGTGGCAGAGGACTGTGCAGATGGTGTAGGATATTCTCCTGCAAGAGAACTTACATGACTAAACTCTAGCAGTTGGAATAGCATTTTTTTTCAGGCAGAATTGCAACTGCTAAAAATGCATTTATTTTGTTTTTCTAAGAGGAGTTGTTAATAGCCTTGTGGAATTGTTTTAAAGGTTTAGACTTTCTGAGTTCTTGATCTTCTATCATATTTTTGTCCTGAGAAAGAAAGTCCCTTCTCAGCAAGTCAAACAGTGACTGTTTCATTAATGGAAATGGGGAGCTGAACTTAGAATGCCAACCTTATTCCAGTTCTTTCAGCTTTGTTCAGAAAAAAAGTTCAGTGACTTTCTCCTGACTAGTTCACTTGCAGTAAGTGGGTTAGGGCACAATTCTGCTAACACGTGGTGCACATTTCATTGCTGCCAGTTAAAATATGCATCCTGTGCTGTTGCTTCCCAGATGCTCTGGGGAGGAAATTTGCATGATCACCATGGCACTGGTGCTCCTGTAAGATCATCAAAGCCTGTATCCTCTTTTACACTTACTAAATGAATCCTTGGGGAAAAAATGAAGTTGAGAGTGTGAAAAGTACTTTGTTCTTAAAAGTATAATATCACCATTCTGGCTGTTGATTGCAAATGGTAGAAGAAGCAGAAGTCTGGCTGAATGTGTCTCTAGAAGGAGGAATAAAACTGAGTCAGCAGGCATTAGTGTGTTTAGGACTTGGCTCCCTGGCTGCTTTGCCCAATGGCTTGTTTAGTCTTGTTCTGCTAAGCATTAGCAGCTTTCAGCAATGTACAGTGATTAGTGCTCTGTGTCTTTCCTCGCTGTTCCTCTGTGTATCCTGGGGCTAGGATTAGGTTACAGCCCTGAAATGGCATGGTTGTCTGCATTGACTAAGAGCTGAATAGTAGGGCAGAGTTCTGTTGATAGACTAAAATGTCTTCTGTGTTTGTTTCCCTTCTCTGGAGGAGGAATGACATTATTTTCGTTTGTAGTCTTTCTGTCTCTGACCTAAACATGTGGTGTCCAATTTCCTTCCCTGGCAGGTGACCTGGAAAATGAGGAATGGTGTCTGGCTGCAGAGTTTACTCCAGCATCAATAAAGACTGAGCCAGGGCTGTGTGAGACATCCTGCCTTGCTCCCTCTGTCAGTCTCACCATCACGGCCATGGCGCTGGAGGGGGAACAGCCTGAACTACGGACAGATGCCCTGGTACTTGTACACTTTCTGTTCCTTCTGTGCAATTAGCTACAGGCTCTCCTAAGACTGCAAGCCAGTGTAGCCTCTTTGGTGCCAAATCTTGGCGATTCAGGAGGCACACTGCGGTGTACTTTCATGGTTTTTAGTGTTTGCTGGTGTCCCACTACTGCTGTAAAACCTTGTGTTTTAAAATACTTGTCTGCATCTTCAGGTCTTAATGCTTGGATGTACAACTTTGTTTTCTATGCTAGCCTCAAAGCCTGGGGCTCTTGGATTGTAAAAAATATTTGCAGTTTCTAATGAGCCAGTCGCACCTGAACTGAGTTCTAAGGAACCAGGCACACTTGCCCTGTGAAGCCTATGACAAGCTAAATGTCTTCCACAATCACTTGCTTTAGTGCTGCTGTGCCTTCATCAGGCCCTGATCAGAACAAGACTCTTTGTTTGGAATGACTGGAAACTTTTCCTGTTTGCCTGCAAAGGGACTTTTGCCAGATCTATGAAACTTTAGCATTTCAAGCTGCTGCTACTTCCATACCAACCTGCCTCGTAAGGAGCATTGTGATGCCTTTCTGCTCACAGCTGGAGCAGCCAGTGGGCATTTTCAAGAGCTTAATTTGACTGTGGTTGGGTTAAGGAGAACTGCAGCAGCTGATGGCTCACCAGAGTCCCCAGTCACTGGAAGAAGAAGCATGGCTGTTCTCAGTCCCCAGGGTACGATGTCAGTCCAGGCCAGATGGAGTTAGTATATGCTCAAAACAAATGTTTCCACTTGGATGTGGATCAGAAATATGTGCAACAGAAATTACTTTAGGAGAAACTGAGAAAAATTATACTCAAATTTCCTATAATAATCTCCTAGTCCCAGTGTGCTGTTCCTGGTACCTAGTCCTGCTGTAGCCCGGGGTGCTGTGATTTGCAGAGAGTGTACTGGGACTAGCTGGTGGCTCATTGCTATTGCACAGATTAGTTACACAGGTTACTGAGAGAGATTCTGGCTGGAATTAACACACTGATGTGCCAGACTGACTTCCTCAAGCCTGGGAAGCACACAGACAGACTCTGGGCAACAGCTTGGCAGCCTGGTGCCCCAGCACTGTCAATGGGGCAAACCAAGCGTTTTCCAAACTTCAGTCAGCCGTGACTGTGCCTTTTCCTGCTTCTCCACATGGTGAGATGAACTTGGGTCCAATAACCTGGTGCTCAGTGACTGGCACCTTGCTCTTGCTCCCAGATGACAATGCTTTGCAACATGCTCTCCCCTACTGCCAGGAGTGTTCCTGTCCCTGCTCAAACAGACTGTGCAGTCCAGCAAATCCTAGCAGCAGCTCTGTTGCTAAGAGAAGTAATTTGAGTGGGTTGCATGCTAGCTTTCAGTCTGAAATGTCAGCTCTGAGGCGTAATCTTTTATTTAGCTAAATATAGGAGTAAGAAAAGCCATAGTGGGAGTAGTCAGGGCAGTATTCTCTTTAGCCTGGTTTAGGAATCTGTGTGAAGCAGTTAAAGCTTTGCTTGTAGCAGAGCAGGAGAGGAAACCTCTCCATTTATGGAGAAGTAATCCTTGTATCCTTCTATTAAGATTTTTAAGATGTGTACTTTGGGTTTTCATGCTGTTAATTTTTCTTTTCTAGATGAAACCACTGACCCAGAAAGTTCTTCCAGAGATTAAATTGGAGCCCCATGAAGTGGATCAGTTCCTGAACCTCTCTTCTAAGGAAGGTTTGTTAAATACCAACCCAAAAGTGCAGGGGGAGATGACCAGAATGCATAATAAATGTACTTTACCCTGATTAAATATTTGGATTTCCTTGTTTGCTGTGTTAGTCTTTAGGCTGAAGCTATTGTCTTCTACTGATTCAACTCAGGTTACTGAAGAGTCAGACTCTCTCTGACCCATTTATGTGGGGTTTTTTCTTTGTTTTTTTCTTTTCTCCTGTTCATCACAAAGAAAATGATCCCTTTTTTGTCTGTAGGGTATTAATAATTGAAGGGAGCTTGAATTCTTAGTACAGGATTATTTAGGATAGAAAACAAATCAATTTGAGGAGAGTTAACTAAGGCATAGGAAATACAAAGAGTTTAAGTGGAAACTTTCCTGTTAACCTCTGATACAAAAGCAAAGATGTGAGTTTACGTGAAAATAAAAGGTAGGTGAATCTGTTTGTAGCATATGAGTTTTAAGACAAATCAAGATCCCTTTGCAGTAATCTATAAATGGAAAAGGAAGAGCAGTGATCCCTGTCCTGAAGTTAAACACAGTTTTGCAGCACATAATCTATTAAAGCCAAGAACACTTTGAAAGAGCCAAATATATGTCCTGAAATTTGAGCAGATAACTGCATCTCAGTTAGAAACACTGAGATGTTCTGTTAGTGAATTAATTTCTGCAATTTCTTCTTCTGGCAACTGCAAGAGTCAAGGTGTGAGATAAAAAGAATATTACAGCTTTTTTTACTTATTATTTTTCTTCCATCCTCCATCAACAACGATTTGACCTTTTCAGCTTAAATTTGCAAAGCATAACAGAAGTGAAAGGTGGCAAATTCTGCCCTGTATCTTCCTACTTCAAAATTTAATTGCTGTAAATTTATCTCAGAGAAACAATGACTTAGTTATGGCTGTTTTGGACATCTGCTAAGTTGTCCTTGCAATAAGAGTAGGTGAGACATGTCCCATTTCTCTTGGTCCAGACCCATAAGCAGCACTTTGCTTGCCAATTCTAGCATAGGTTCTTTTGGCTACCAGTGCACGAGAGTTAGCTTATGGCCCTGGATAGCACAGTGTGAGAGGTTTCTGTGGAGTCTGCCTAGGCTGCTCCTGCTCCATCAGTACATTGAAGCCTTTGCTGTCACTGCATTGTCAGTCACTTCCTCCCAGTTGTGCCAAACCAAGTCCTTAGCAGTACTTACTCTCCTCCTTCATCATATAAGACCTTGGATGTGATCCCTTCCTTTGAAAATACTGGCAATTTATTTAATCCACAGAAAAGTTAGGAAATACTATTTTTTTCTGGAGGGAAAGTATGCTGGATTACAGCCTCTCTGTTAATGTGGTTTCCCAGGAACAGGGAACTTGTACTGGAGGGTTATACTTGAACCTGAAAACATTTGAAGAAGCTGAAGTGTAGGTAGAAATGACTGGAGCATATGCATGGAGCCCTGTTTTGTCTGTCAAACCTAAAGATAGCTGCTGTGTTTCATACCTCCTTTGGAGACCTGCATGCTCTGAACATCTTCCAAGTTGCCACTTTTGCTTGATCCATTTTTTTAGCAGACAGTCCTAGTCTTGGAAACTGGGTGGTGGTGGTGGCGGCTCTGGTGGCAATTTAAATTAGCACCTCAAAACTTTGTGTCATATTATGTCTCTCTTGCCATTTAGCAGTGGATCCCCTGCATTTGCCTCCGACCCCTCCCAGCAGCCATGGCAGTGACTCTGAAGGAGGGCAGAGCCCAGCTAGATCACTCCCTCCTTCAAGCCCAATCCAGCTACAAGCCACGGCTAAAGTTGCATCACGCACAGCTTCAGTGCTCTCCAATTCCCCTCTCCTGACTGCACCACATGTAAGTTGGACTGGCTTTGTCCAGTGTCTATCTGTCTGTCTCTCCCTTTTTCTTTTTTTTAAAATTACTGGTTTTGACATGGATTTGCTAATTTACTGTTGTTCTTTAAATGAATTCATCTCTAGTCAAAACTGCACATCCAATAATTCTTGCTTGCTGGTCTGTTCCATTCCCACAGAGAACTGTATGTACCTCTCCTCTAAAGTGACACAGTGTTCAATAGTGTTACTAGATTTCTCCTACCATGGATTGTGTTTTGTCATAGGCTCCAGCCCATGCTGGGTTAACCTGTCTCTAGTAGACCTGCATCTGTCCTCTTGTCTTGTCAGAAGCAAGTAGTGATTTTATGGAGAG